AATCAGAAGACACCCTCTCAATCTTGAGAGAAAAACTCCAAACAACCTACAAAAACACCAGACTGGACAAGCTGCAGGATAATAATATCTACTGCCGCCAACCTATTAATATTATTAAATTTCTCATAAAATAGGTTTTTCCTAGCAACACCACTATCATAATTAAACTAAATTTAACTAAGTAAAAATTTTAACTTTTCAGATAGTAAAAACTTAACTTTAATGCATTTTTTTAAAATAGTTTACTATTGCTCGATTAATTTCACTAAATTTTTCATGTATTAAATTTTAACTCCTGAGCAAGTGAGAAACCTAAGTTCAGCGACATCTTATATCAATAGTAAATTCTGGGGATTATAGCCCGTGAGGGTTATGTACCCCAAAATAAGTACTCCGCTATATATATATCTTGATTCCAGTTTACATATGATTTAAGGTAACACATAAATCGATAAGTAAATTCAACATTAAAACATTCAACATATTGAGCATAACTGTCATTTCAAAAATTAAAAATAATAAAATTGTAAAAAATTAAATTTAGATTCAAATTTCTCTAAATTTTAATACAAATACTGTGCAATATTTAAAAATATGTGAATGTTTATTTCAGAAAATCACGTTCACACTGTATAGGAAATTACCTCATTTTGTTATTTGAAAAATATCAGCAGCATGAATAAGGTAGAATTTTAGTAAGTGTATCAGAATCGTGAAAAAAAGAACCATTTTCAAATAAATAAAAGTGCAGATATTTCTCTATAGAGTTGCACGTTTGTTCACTATTTTAAAAATCTATTTTTAGCTTACTATTTATTAAATTCTCATAGTAGATACATCTATAGAATTAGTGAAACGCCCGCTGCTCTTTTTAACACTTTAATTTAAAAATTTAAAATTTGAAGCATTTTAAGATCTTGGTTATCTTAATTAAGGCTTCCGTCTACCGACCATTTTGATTTCGTGAACGTAATGTTAATCCTATAGAATTTCTTCTTCCTATGGAATTTCTCAAATCTTCCTTGTTTTATACATTTGAATGGAAAACAGTAAAAAATAACGGTTTCTGCGAAGTTAAATTTTTTCTCCGAATTTTGAAAATATTTCAGAACATTTTTTTTAAAAAATCAGAAAAATTATAGATGAATCATTAAAATAGTGACGGAAATCAAAAAATTCAGGAAAGAAAAATGTGTAATTTTGCAGAATCTTTCTTTCTTTCTCTCTCTCTCTCTCTCTTTTGGATGCTTTTTTTTATATTCAACTATAATATAAAATAGGAAAAATTTGAGGATGGTAACAGAAATTCCATATAATTAAAATCTAAAGGTCAGGAGTCTTTTTATTCCCCGTGAGAGTGTACAGTGTTTGGTAAACACGTGACGCACTCACGGGGGGGGGGGGGGTATCAAACGATTATTTTCTGTTTTCAACTTTTCCTCTTGTCAACCAATTTTTACTTTTTTCTTAAGGACAAAGTTGCACCTTGTTTGAAGCAGCATAGTCACATTTAGCTCACGCCATTGAACTCAACTTTATCAACTATTAAGCACTTAGTATCCCTGATTCCCTTTTATATTTCATTGCTCGATAGCAATTGCGTTTTATTCCATTTGAAAAACTTAATGCAAGGCTTGACTAAGATATCTCGACCCACAAACTTGACACTAAACCACAATTTGCAAGAGAAGCAGCCACGATAGTTAGTTGTGGAATCGAACTCATTGCTAGCTTTGTTTTTGTCGTGGATTCGAGGCTTGGTAAGACTTGTCGTTCAGCGAAGCGTATTCTTGTTAACCCAGTGGATACTCAGTCCTTGGGACATAAATGAAGTCAATGACTTGTAATTTAGCTCATGTGTTATCTTCGCCACTTGACCGAGGCTTAAAATTATGTGGTCCTTCTTCAACAGGCCTGGTGTTGCTTCTAAGTTCGACTTTGTTTGAACGATCAATCAATGAAAAATGCATAAGACTGTCTTTTGTTGTGTCCTTTTCATTTTATTGTAGGATTAATCACTGAAAGTTGTCAGGAACCCATGTTGAAATGCTAATATGAAAAGTTTCACACAAGTAAATAAACTCTTTAAAAATAACAAATATTTTGTGAACTAAAATAAATTAAAAAAGTACAGCAGGTTCCACCGAGATTTGAACTCAAATCCAGAAGGCCAGAATGTTAAGAAATCCAAAATCCAGAATGCTAACCATTTCACCATGGAACCACATGGCAAATTGCCTTATTAAATTATCGTACGAATTTGTTTGTATTACTCTTTATCAACCTGAACAAATTCTCTGGATGCTTTCAACAGAGAAAATTAGCAAACAGTTCACGTTTTGTGTCGCAGAGATGTTGGTAAACCGTAATACCAAATTTGTATCTTCGTTTATTTCAAATGAATAAAGTCAAAACTATAAAAAGAACTAGAGAAATGGTTACCGCAAAGGATTGTAATCACGTAAACCGAAATTTTAAAATTTAAATTGAATTTCAGAGCGGTTTTTTTACATTTGAATTTGAATTTCATATTAAGAATATATATATATATATATATATATACAATCGGACAAAATATTTTTAAGATATTTTGTTTTGTTACCTTCCACGTGACATTAATGGAAGCAGACGGATTAATACCACTTATAATTTTGACGTAAATCAATATCAAGTGACGGGAATTTAATGTGGTAGAAAAATTTGTCCAAATTATTTAACTGTACAAAAATTAAAATTAGAATGATTAGTGTTACTTGGTATTCTCTTCAAAGGTACTTCTGTTAGCAGTAATAGCAGTTTTGTGCAAACGAAGGGTGGGAATCTCATTTCAGAAAGGGTTGTTTGAAATCTTATTAATTATACATTACTTGTGAAATTATGTATATGTACCTTGATATCTCATTATAATATTATGCATATTTTATCACAATAGCGAATCTCAAATATAATTTAGATATTCTTTATCTTGTACTTCTCTTCGATTTTAGTGTTACTTACAAATATATAAAGATTTAAGATACTCCAGAACAATTTTTGGAGGGTAGAGAAGCCTTATTAAGCCCAGGTTAAAGTTCCTGCGCTACAAGATCTATGTCGCTCAAGTAGATTTATAAGTTCGAGTCCTTATTCCACACCAAAGACCAGTCGAGTACATCATGATTAAAAATCATGAGATCTTTTCTTTACAGTCTTCTTTAAGGTCCTGATTGTTTTTACTTCAAGGCTAAAATAAATCACCAAACTTTATATATATATATATATAGTATATCTGTTCTATATGTGGCCGCTATAACTGAGTGCTTATGGTTTCGAGCTCGGAACCGGCGTTGTTTTTGTCGAATCATCGAATTTTGTGTCCTGATACCACTTTTGGTCCGCCGTGTAGCTAGACCGATGCACGTTTAAGCTGTCGACTTCAAATTCCCCCTTTGTCGTGGTGTGGAAGTTTGTAGAGAGAGTGCCAGCTCAGGTGGCGCTCTCGTCTCTTGACCGAAGCTCAAAATTACGAGATCCGTCATCAATAGCCTTCGTGTTTCTTCAAAGTGCAGCCTTAATAAATAACCAATAAATAGCATTTTGTACTGGTGTCAATACATACACACACATATGTATGTGTGTGTATGCATGCATGTATGAAAAATATATAAACCTGAGCCCTAAGCGTTAAATTATGGAAAATCTTTTCGGTTATTAAAATTTTATACCTTAATCCTGAGGCGAAGCTTAAATGATTTAATTAACAGGAACCTCGTAAACAAGGTACTTGCCGCTACCCAACAGGGATTACAAAATAGTTTCTCATTCACAAGATCGCATGAAATATTGAAACCTGTGTTGTCATGATAACGCAGTAAAAAGAAAAAGGATGAAATAAATCATTTTATAATGATTGCTGAATACAGTCTAAATTGGGAAATCACATTCCTGGCTTTCATTATTGCACCACATAATGATTTGCGAATCCACTTTTATTTAATATGTAGCAGCTCTCATTTATTACCCAAGACGTATCTTGAGCGGAATCATGCTCATCATTTGAATATCGATGGTACAGTGTTCGCTACCTTAACACGTTATGTGCCATTTTGCGTGGTGATACTTTTCAGTTTCTTCATTCTACTCGTGTGACCACCGGTAGACATTTACAATATTTTTATGTATTTCACTTGATGTGTTTGTGTGTATCAGTGTGTCATCAAATTTTCTATCGTTAATTTAACCAACTTCCCAACAAGCTAGAGCTCTGAAACTTTGGGAATCGTTCTCACTTGTCTAACAATGCAATATTTAGATATTTGCGACAAGTTTTAACTAGTGTTTCAATAATTTTTTAATAAACTTTGCCACCATATAAAAACGTTGGATTTTATCTCGAATTATTACATTTGCTTTCAGCGCCGTGTCCTCACCCGTTTACCCGTTTTATACGGGCTTAGTAAATACTTGCCGATTTTTCGGCCCCAGGACACATCATACCTTGGTATGAACTCAGCATGGCAAATGCTTTTTTATTCACCCCTCCCCGTGGGCATTAAAATTTAAAAGAAAACAGCTATAATAACACAAATATATGTAAATTAACAAAAGAATAATCATAAATATCCATTTTAACAAATATCCAGGGAAGACAAAAAATGGCCCCACGGTTGCAAATAGTGAGTACAATTTGTGCGATTAGATCGAGGCTTAACGAGTTAATCACAAAGAAAGAACTATCAGACGGACTGATAAATTTTTTGATAATAAATGATGATAATCTATCTGCCTCCACTGCAAAATACAGAAAGTAACGAGTTGATTTTAAGAGGTATCGATGTTTTCTTTCAGCTAGTTTTTTCTTAATATAACATTCAAATTAGTATAAAAATATAATTATAGAAATAATTTACTACGTAAGTAATGGAGAGCTAAGAAAATATTTAAAATTTTATTTCAAGCGATTTTAAATGTCCTGCAAAAAACAATGCTTCTTTCAAGTTAAAATTGCATATCCCTTAACTGCAACAAATAAAAAACAAAAAAGATACGAGATTCTTACAATTAGCCGACGTCTCTGAGAAATGAAGCGTAAAAGTTGCTTGCTTCTCTTAGTTTTAACTTCCAGATTGTTTGCTCAGGACGATAAGTTGTATAAATAGATTCATATGAGGCTTTGTTATGATAAGTTTTTGTGAGGTTCCATGGTGTAATGGTTAGCACTCTGGGCTTTGAATCCAGCGATCCGAGTTCAAATCTCGGTGGAACCTGCTGCGTTTTTTTAATTTTAAAAATCTAATATTCATACAAAAATGATTTAGTTTTTAAACAGTTAGTTAACTTGATCAAATGTTTTCATTCTAATAGTGTTTTTCCCCTTCATTTTTTTGATGACATTCTAAAATTAGTCCCATAAAAAATAAGTTGAGCTGACGTCTCCTTCCCCAAATTTTCACACCATGCCAATGGGACGACTTGGGAGCTCGACCAGATTTAGTGATATCGTTTCAGTTACTGCGTAGGTTTTTAGAAGCATCTGGGATCGAGTCCACCATTCGACGCTAGTCCACGGCCATGACCACCATGCTGCCACAACTACATTTTCATAATTTTAGTGGAATTAATCTTATTATTTAAAAAAATGTCTTTAAAATATTACTATCTTTGTAGCATTTTTTGTGGTAATGTCTTCAAAAAATGAAGAAAATAAAACTTTTTAGACAAACTTCCCTCTAAAACAGCTTTTCTTTTTGTTTTTATTTTAAATATTACTCATAGCTCCCCATTATGAATTGCATTTGATTTTCATTCCCATCATATTATTTCTTACTCAACTACTGTTGCTGCTTTTATCGGCACACTTTATAAGCCTAAGCTATACTTTAAACACCTCTACTTAATTTTAAAATTACCTTCGTTGATTTGAAACCAAGAAAACAGATAACAGTGAAGTTAAGGCGAGAATGGTTCGTGTAAAGAAACGTCACAGAAGAAGACCGCCAACATCTTTAGTCTAGTCGGCGCCGACACTCGCAGGCTGCAATGAAGTGATTTTGTTTAATAAACCCACAGATTCTCTCAGATCTTAACGCCCACTTTTTTATTCTCCAAATACATTCGGATTGTACTATCAGGATAATTTCAAAACACGAAGCTATATTTGATCAATGGAAAATTGCTTTTAATAAATTAATTTGACTTTTTAAGCATTAAGTGGGGAAAAAAGGAATGTATAACGTAGCAATCTCAAAATCATTTTGTTTCGTTTGATGATTTTGAAACAAATTTTTTTTCATGGTTAGATGATTTATTTTGAAAAATACTTCTTTTTGGACTTTTCTTTCGAAACTTTTAGCTTTGTGTAGGTAGTTGTTTCTTAGGATACTCACAGTTCCATCTGAACTCTTCTTATTTCATGACTCATTTTGTATCAACTGAATTGGTGCGTCACAGTACCAAAATATAAATATCAGAAGTGATTGATCTTTCGAAGTACAATGGGTCTTTTACATCTGCAACGTCATTCTTTATCATTTGCTGAAATTCTAAACTTTCTGGAATAAAATTGCGAATGCGCTGCAATCTATTAATTAACTTTATTGGTATTTTAGAGATAACGTGTCAGCTTTGTAGTTCCCGAAAAGCACATTGAGTCTAGAAATTATTTTTGTATTTTACATCAACTTAAATGTGTGCTTCTCGTGAGACGAAGAGGTTTTTTTTTCCCCCTTTCTTCAAGAAGAGACAGTTTCAAAATGAAAAAAGAAACGCGATTTAAAAGAAATTTGTTTGGATTAATAAAAGCTTGAAAAGATGTAACATTTTTCAAAATGGATTGATATAATTCTGGGGAAAACGTGACGCATTAAAAAATGTAACAGTAACTAGAAAATATTTCTTTAAATTTTTAAAAAAAGTATTTTAAGTTTTAAATTAGCTTCTCTGGTTTCCTGTAGTTTTATCAAATAAAATATAAATGCACAGTTTTGATACAAAAAAAATTGCCTTTCAATAAGAAATATAAATGGTACACTTTCCGTATTGAATCAATTTTTCACCAAAGGTACTATTGTTGTAAAATTATTTTTAAACTGTATAAAAACTTTAAAAGGAACGAAACGGTATTTATTTACACAAAAAAGATCATTTTTATTAGTTGTGTATATGAAAAAGTACAATTTAGCAAAAATTAGACTAAAAGTCCTGTAAATAATTGCTTTACAAATAACTTAGCAACAAAATTCATTT